CCCTAGGGCGACTCACGGCGGTGTACAACATATAAAAACAAATTACAATATAGGCAATATCACAAACAACAATAACAACATCACTATCAATAATACAATTACACTAAATCATTCGCGACGTCTCATCATAGAATCACAATCCAATCTCGTTATCCATGTTCCGTTCCAATCGTCATTGCCAATTGTTGTAGCACTTAATCAAACGCCTTCTCAAACAACCACGTCTTTAGTCTCTTGCGGAATGTCATAAGGGAGGGCGCCTGTCTGATGTCTACAGGGAGGGTGTTCCACAGCCGGGGGGCCACCACCGAGAAGGCCCTATCCCTCGTCCCCGCCAGGCGTGCCTGTGAGGCAGGCGGGATCGAGAGAAGGGCCTCCCCAGATGATCTCAAGGTCCTCGTGGGCTCATAGGCCGAGATGCGGTCAAGGTATTTTGGGCCGGAACCGTTTAGGGCTTTGTAGGCCAACACCAGCACCTTGAATTGGGCCCGGTAGCAGATCGGCAGCCAGTGGAGCTGGAACAACAAGGGCGTTGTGTGCTCCCTGCGTCCCGCTCCAGTTAGTAACATGGCTGCCGCGCGCTGGACTAGCTGAAGCTTCCGGGCCGTCTTCAAGGGCAGCCCCACGTAGAGAGCGTTGCAGTAGTCAAGGCGGGATGTGACCAGAGCATGTACCACCGTGGCCAAGTCAGACTTCCCGAGGTACGGGCGCAGCTGGCGCACGAGCCTGAGCTGTGCAAATGCTCCCCTGGTCACCGCTGAAACCTGGGGATCCAGGCTCAACGATGAATCCAGGATCACACCCAAGCTGCGAACCTGCGCCTTCAAGGGGAGTGCGACCCCATCCAGCACAGGCTGTAACCCTATGCCCTGTTCGGCCTTGCGACTGACCAGGAGTACCTCTGTCTTGTCTGGATTCAATTTCAATTTGTTCGCCCTCATCCAGACCGTCACAGCGGCCAGGCACCGGTTCAGGACCTCGACAGCCTCCTTAGTAGCAGGTGGGAAGGAGTGACAGAGTTGGACATCATCTGCGTACAGATGACACCGCACCCCGAAACTCCGGATGATCTCACCCAGCGGCTTCATGTAGATATTAAACAGCATGGGGGACAGTATTGAGCCCTGTGGAACCCCACAAGTCAAAGGCTGTGGCGTTGAACAGGTGTCCCCCAATAACACCTTCTGGGTGCGGCCCTCCAGAAATGACCGGAGCCACTGCAGGACAGTGCCCCCGAGGCCCATTTCCGCAAGACGCCCCAGAAGGATACCGTGGTCGACGGTATCGAAGGCCGCTGAGAGGTCCAGGAGCACCAACAGGGACACACTCCCCCTGTCTAGCTCCCGGCGCAGATCATCCACTACGGCGACCAAGACCGTCTCAGTTCCATGTCCCGGTCTGAAACCAGACTGTGCCGAATCCAGATAATCCGTGTCTCTCAAGAATACCTGGAGTTGTGAGGCCACCACGCTTTCCATGACTTTGCCCAAAAAGGGGAGATTGGAAACAGGCCGAAAGTTGTCAAATTTAGTGGGGTCCAGTGATGGTTTTTTCAACAGTGGTTTTATAATAGCTTGTTTTAAGCTCGCTGGAATCTCGCCTTCCCGGAGGGAGGCGTTAACCACCACCGTTACCCACTCAGCCAATCCCCCTCTGGCCTCCTTCAGAAGCCAGGATGGGCAGGGGTCTAGGATGGACGTGTGGGCCTCATTCCTCCAAGTATCTTGTCCACATCCTCGGGCTTCACCAATTGAAAAGAATCCATCAAAATAGGACAAGCAGGTGCTCGTGTCACATCCTCAGAGACTGCATTTAATATGGTGTTCAGACCAGAACGGATCAAAGCGACTTTGTCTGCAAAGAACCGAGCAAATGCTTCGCAGCGCGTGGCCGAATTGTCAGTGCTCCCGTCTGAGATGGCGGGAGTTAAAAGACCTCTGACAATCCGGAACAACTCCGCCGGACGGTTCCTTGCAGACGCAATAGTAGCCGCAAAGAAAGTTTTCTTTGCGGCTTTTATTGCCGCGGCATATGCCCTTAGAAAGGACACAAACCGTGTTCGATTTGACTCGCTCGGATCCGAACGCCACACGCTCTCTAGTTCCCTCTTCCTTCGCTTCATCACTGCCAGCTCCTCAGTAAACCGATAGTTGTTATGCTCAAGTTGCTCTTTATGTGGGTTATTATATTTGGGTTATTATATTATATATGAAGCCCCCAGTGGTGCAGCGGGTTAAACCGCTGAGCTGCTGAACTTGCTAGCCAAAAGGTCGGCAGTTCAAATCCCACTGTTAGCCCCAGCTTTTGCCAACCTAGCAGTTCGAAAACATGTAAATATGACTACTCATCCATAGTAGTCATGTAAATATGACTACATCCATAGGTACCACTCTGGTGGGTATTATACTCAACTCCCACAATTCCTAACAGCCTACCGGCTGTTAGGAATTGTGGGAATTGAAGTCCAAAACACCTGGAGGGCAAAGTTTGCCCGTGCCTGGGCTAGAATGATTTCCTCAAGGACAGGCAAAGATTTGTTTCATTCTGACATCCTTTTTGGAACTGAAGATTATAAAGAAAGATATTTTAATATGGGTGCTATAGTTTAATCATAATTTTTAAATTAAAAACTGCTTTTTATCATTTCATCTCTATACTTTAAATGTTTTTTTAGCATTGTTCATGGTTTAATTCCATTTTAATTCTGAACTTTCCCATGTTGTAATTGGTTTTTTCCTGCCTAAGGCACTTAAGAGTCCTTGTTTTGGGGAAAATGCAGGATTTATTTAATTTAAATGAGTTAATGAAAGTAATAATGTGGCCTGTGAATTGCACAATTCCCAGAGCTGGCAAAATAAAACTGGAGGTCTCAGAAGAGGGACTTTTAGCAGATGTTTATTGCTACTTTACCAGGTAACAAGCAACATTTTCTGAAAATAAAGGTACAGAGTCCACTCCAAGTTTTCACTCTGACAATCCTGGTTTAATAGGCAGTCTGTTTGTGGAATGAAAATCACATGTAGTTCATGTCTTTATCAATCCACATGCTGTCTTGCTAGAGAAAAGATATGTCACATAGATTATCAGTAAAAAAAAAGTTGTTTTCTCTTTATTATGCAGAGCAACATATATACAGTCATGAGAACAGTTGCTTTGACTCACACAATGTCCTTTGAGAGAGATTCAAATGATCCTTTGGTGTCCATGTGAAGGATCGCCTTCCATCAGCCAAGAAGCAATTTTTTTTAAAAAAAACTGTCTTGGCAAGCTCTTGCACAGAAAACTTAAACATGTAACTGTTGCCAAAAATCCCAGGCTCAGCTAGCTCCTGGGTGTGGCCCAACCAATCAGCTTCGTGCTTTCCATGTTTCAGTTAACACACTCACCAACCGATTTTTACACGCTCCAACAATCTGTACTCCTATTGCACACACAATGGATGGGTTGAGTATGGTTCTTTCCCCACCTCTTTCTGTACCCTAAAATCTTAATTTTTAGACTAATGGCGATCTTCAAGAGAGAATTTAGAAAGGAAGTTCTAGTTGATGGATAGAAAAAAGTGAATAATACACAGCGAAATCTTCAGCACAACTTTTGTTAACAGCAAACCTCCATCTGAAGCGCTCTTCTCAAATCAAAAGAACTACAGAAAATGTAATTGCATATACTGGCTAAATAATGTATGATTATTACTGTGATGAAGAAATCCATCACCCATTTTCTACATCTGCAGTGGCTCCACAATTAAGCGGTCCTGTCAAACGTTTCAATTTGTGCACTTGTCAAAGGAAATTATGTATACAATGTTTAGTGGGAAAATTACGATTTCCAAACAATATCTGTCTCTTGGAGATTTCTTAATAGAAAGTGGAAATTGTTTTTTGTTTGATATTTAAAAGGAATTGAAATGTATAAATGCTATTAGAAGAAAAAAATGTGTCAGAAGTGGCTTGAAAAAGTCGTTTCGGGTGTGAGAGAAACGGTCGACTAAAAGGACATTGTCTGGATGTTTTACCATCCTGTGGGAGGCTTCTCTTATGTCCCTGCATGGGAAGCCGGAGCTGACAGACACGAGCTCACCCCATCTCGCAGATTTGAACTGCCAACTTCCAGGTCAGCAGTCCAGCTGGCACAAGGGTTTAACCCAGCGTTTAACCCAGCGTTGGGATAGAAAAAAGGGGAGGTCACGAGGGGATGTCAGAGGGGTCACCAAAGAACCGTTAGAAAACACAGTATTTTCTGTTGGCCATGGGGGTTCTGTGTGGGAGGTTTGGCCCAATTCTATCATTGGCGGGGTTCAGAATGCTCTTTGATTGTAGGTGAACTAAAAATCCCAGCAACTACAACTCCCAAATATCAAGGTCTATTTTCCACAAACTCCACCAGTGTTTACATTTGGGACTATTGAATATTTGTGTCAAGTTTGGTCCAGATCTATCATTGTTTGAGTCCACAGTGCTCTCTGGATGTAGGTGAACTACAACTCAAAAACACAAGTCCAATGCTCACCAAATCCTTTCAGTATTTTCTGTTGGTCATGGTCATCTGTTCCAAGCTTGGTTCAATTCAATTGTTGGTGGAGTTCAGAATGCTCTTTGATTGTAGGTTAACTAAAAATCTCAGAAACTACAACTCCCAAATCACAAAATCAATCCCCCTCCAACTCCAATAGTATTCAGATTTGGGCGTACAGGGTATTTGTGCCAAATTTGGTCCAGTGAATGAAAATACATTCTGCATATCAGATATTTACATTATGATTCATAACAGTAGCAAAATTACTGTTATGAAGTGGCAACAAAAATTATGTTATGGTTCAGGGTCACCACAACATGATGAACTGCATTAGGAAGGTTGAGAACCACTGGTTTAACCCAATGCATTACTGTGGCTCCTGTTAAGAAAAAAAATAAAGTGGTGCAATCATTTATGTTGCACACTGATTATGTATACATGGTATTACACATTTTAATTTTTATTCTCCTACCTTATTTTCCTAGATATTTACATCATGTAATCTACCAAGCAGTTCATCTGTTGGCTGTAAGTACTTTCTTCTTTCTTTCCAGGGCAGCTGACAAAAATTACAGAAAAGATCATAGAAACTGTGATATCATTAAAATAATTGTGAAATCATCACAGCTATATGGAGTTGCATAATATTTCTAGTTCCCACATATATTTCTTTGAAGACATACATTTTCACCTGTGGGGAATGCTATTTTTTCCTAACTGAATAGCTCTGATTTTAAAACTTGTTGATATTGTGTGGCTGTTATTGATAGAAGAAGATTTTACGTTTCTACAGGGCAATTAAATGCACAATTCCAGAGGTTAGGCAGAAGAGGCAAGGAGCTATTTTTAAACAAGCAATGCATGGAAGTGGAAGAAGACAACAGAATAGAAAGGACAAGAGTCCTCTTCCAGAAAATTAGAAACATTGGAGGTAAATTTCAGGCAAAAATTGACATTATAAGAAACAAAGATTGCAGGGACCTAACAGAAGCTGAAGAGATCAAGGGAAGGTGGCGAGACTATACAGAAGATCTGTATAGGAAGGATAATAATACCAAGGATAGTTTTGACAGTGTGGTGAGTGAATTAGAACCAGACATACTGAGGAGTGAGGTTGATAAAATAGTGAAGAGTAGAGACATCACACTGGCAACGAAGATCTGCATAGTTAAAGCAATGGTGTACCCTATAGTCACCTACGGATGTGAGAGCTGGACCATAGGGAAGGCTGAGCGAAGGAAGATAGATGCGTTTGAACTGTGATGTTGGAGGAAAGTTCTGAGGGTGTCTTGGACCGCCAAAAGATCCAATCAGTCCATACTTCAGGAAATAAAGCCCGACTGCTCATTGGAGGGAAGGATATTAGAGGCAAAGATGAAGTACTTTGGCCACATCATGAGAAGACAGGAAAGCTTAGAGAAGAGAATTATGCTGGGGAAAATGGAAGGAAAAAGGAAGAGGGGCTGACCAAGGGCAAGATGGATGGATGGCATCCTTGAAGTTACTGGATTGACCTTGAAGGAGCTGGGGCTGGTGACGGCTGACAGGGAGCTCTGGCTTGGGCTAGTCCATGAGATCACAAAGAGTTGGAAACAACTGAATGAATGAACAACAACAACCTAGTGAAGGGAACCAAGTAGAAGTCATATGAAAAGCAATGTCGGAGTAGGAAGAGGTCCAGAGGAGAAGAAGGTAAAAACAGGAGAAGAAAGTGGAGGTACATCTGTTAGAAGTGTCAGGTACATCTGTTTCTTGTAGGGACCTTATGTAAATGTTGTCCTCCCCTTCTCATAGAATCATAGAGTTCGAAGAGACCTTATGGGCCATGCAGTCCAACCCTCTGCCAAGAAGCAGGAAAATTGCATTCAAAGCACCCATGACAGATGGCCATCCAGACTTCTCTTTTTTCATCTTTTCTTCTCCTTCTCTTTTCTCTGCTAAGTTTCTAACAGTAGTGAGGCAAGGACTTCTTGAGTGAGGGCTCAATGGTTAATGGACGTGAGACTAACCCCCTTTCCCACTTTCTCCCATTCACTATGTAAATACAAATATTGCTATTCCAAAACCCAAAAACCTCTGGTCCTAAGCATTTTGGATAAAGGAGACTCAATCTGGAATTTGTGTGTTTTTAATGTGTACACTATCAGAAAATCCTAGTTAATGTGTTGTTTTTGAAGATGATATACATATAAGCGTTAAGACCTGGATTCAGTTATTAGTGATGATTTGTCCTGATTTTTCCCTCCATGGGCAGGTTATAACAGAATATTTGGAAAGTTATAGTTATTTTCTGTATGTGGTGCATTGTGGTTTAAATTGAGCATGCCAATCTGCATGTCAGAACTTTTAAAATTACCTTTTAAAAATATATATTTCACAATCTGCCAGGCAATATCGCCAGTGGCCATGCTAACTTGGTGAATGTGGGAGTTTTAATCCCCAAAGCAACCTTTTCAAACGTTGATGTTCAGGGTGGATATATGAACAATCTTGATTTCATGCATACAATTGGGCTTGAAGGACCTTTGTTCTGTTCCGTATTCATAATCCTTCCCAAATAGTTCTGAAGAACCTTTTGAATCTTTGAGTTAAGTTAAATTGGCTCTCGTACAACAGTTTAAAAAGCTATTTAATGTTCTTAATGAAAAAAAGGAAATTTCAGTTTAAAGTTCTGCCAGTGGAGTGCTTTGAATGATTGTCTTCGGCAAATTAGTTGTAATTCCCACAATTACACTCAAGCGCACACGCACACACTCCATTGTTATTCCCAGTGGGCCAGTTTCCTTTTTTTCACTTGGTATTAGCACACAGGGACTGGATAATACCAATTCCTTGCCACGTTGTCCTGTTCCACAATATTAAAACTATACACACATAAATACATTCCAAGTGACATTTCTTCCAAACTTTTGTACTCCCGATGTTATTGCTTATCTTCGTTTATCATCAAGTATGCAGACAACACCAAATTGGGAGGGATGGCCAATACTCCAGAAGAGAGGAGCAGAATTCAAAACGATCTTAACATATTAGAGGCATGGGCCAAAACCAACAAAATGAAGTTCAACATGGACAAATGCAAGATACTCCACTTAGGCAGAAAACAAATTAAATGCAAAAAATACAGAATGCGGGATCCCTGGCTCGAGCGCAGTACATGTGAAAAAGATCTTGGAGTCCTCATGGACAACAAGTTGAACATGAGCCAACAATGCCATGTGGTGGCTAAAAAATTGGATTTTTGCCTGCATAAATAGCATAGTGTCTAGACCCAGGGAAATCATGCTACCCCTCTATTCTGTATTGGTCAGATCACACCTAGAATCACACTGTGTTCAGTTCTGGGCACCACAATCGAAGGAAGATGTTGACAAGCTGGAATGTGCCCAGAAGAGGGCAACTAAAATGATCAAAGGTCTGGAGAACATGGGGAGCGGCTTGAAGAGTTGGGCATGTTTAGCCTGCAGAAGAGAAGACTGAGAGGAGACATGATGAAGGCCATGTATAAATATGTGAAGGGAAGTCATAGGGAGGAGGGAGCAAGCTTGTTTTCTGTTGACCTGGAGACTAGGACACGAAACAATGACTACAAGAAAGGAGATTCCACCTGAACATTAGGAAGAACTTCCTGACTGTGAGAGCTCTTGAGCAGTGGAACTCACTGTCCCTGAGTGTGGTGGAGACTCCTTCTTTGGAAGCTTTTAAGCAGAGGCTGGACAGCCATCTGCCGTGGGTGCTTTGAATGCTATTTTCCATTTTCTTGGCAGAGGGTTGGACTGAATGGCCCACGAGGTCTCTTCCAATTCTATGATTCTCTTATTTTTGCCATCCTAATTCCTGATCCAACTTGTAGCTGTTATGAGAACCTCTGTTACAAATGTAGCACAACCAATTGAAGACAAAAAAAAAAATCAAGCATGTCTGTTTTGTCCAGCTCAATGGAGTGGTTTGTGAGAGTTTTGCTGAAAAGAATGCTGCCCTGCCAGTTTTCTGCCTTATCTGTCTATCTGTCTGACTCAAGAGCCTCGTCTTTTGGATAGTACTGTTCTGTTGTGGATTTCCTGGAAAATGTACAGTCCTTGTCGATTTCACCTCACTTTACCTTGAACCACAGTTTTTACTATTTGTAGAGATGACAGGAGGAAAGTGTAATCAGTGTCTCCGTATACAAATTAATTGCTATATGTTCCCTCTTTCACAACTAGGGACATGTTCTAGAGGTTGTACATCCTTTCTGGGAATTCTCCATCCTGGGAACAGAGATTTCTGGTATTTTGTTGCAATGTTAGCATTTAGGATTACCAGGTGAATTTCAGCATGGGCTGCTTGCTTTGAAATCAGGTAACAGAGCACATCTGTTGGAATTCCCTCTTCTACATAATCATTTTGTGTGTGTCAGGTTCGACTTGAGAAACTGCAAGTCGATTCTGGTGTGAGAGAATTAGCTGTCTGCCCAGGAGGTGCCCGGATGTCTTACCATCCTGTGGAAGGCTTCTTTCATGTCCCCGCATGGGAAGCTGGAGCTGACAGATGGCAGCTCATCCTATCTCACAGATTTGAACTGCTGACCTTCAGGTCAGCAGTTCAGCCACAAGGGTTTAACCCATTGTGCCACCACGGCTCCTATGTAATCATTAAAGATACATGAACATTATACACTTTTCACTCTGGAAATACACTGAAGGTTATTTACATTTCATTGAGTGACTGCTTTTGCATGATGTGATGATCAGAAGACTTGGCTAAGGAGCCATCTTTTGTACAGTTGAAATCCATTGGTCATATTGCCTGGGGCGTTTTAAGCACTGGATTTCAAAATACTAATTTATTTACTTTATTTTTATCCCATCTTTCTCCTGACATAAGGGCTCAATAATCATAATAAAACTTTATTTGTATCCCTCCCTATCTCCCTGTGGGGACTCAAGGCAGGTAACAGCAAAATAGTGACTTTTCCCAATCTGATAAGGAGATCTCAACTGTTCCAAAATGCTCCTAAGTTGACTCAACAATCCTTAAAGAGTTCTGTTTAGCTATTCAGGCTTGCTATGTGATGCCAATAGTTTTCATCACAGCATCCAGAAACTCTGCCAGAGGCTATCCTGAGCCTTTTTGGGCAGGACTAGAAATGGTTACAAGCAACAAGGAATAGGGCAGAATGAAGGCATTTCCCCTCCAAATAAGAATGCCAACCCCCAAAGAAATGTTCCTTCAGTCTGCAGTTTCAGAGTTTAGAGAATAAAGGAAATGTTCATTTGGAGACCAGAATTCATATTTGGGGAAACAACGCCCTCATTTTGTGCCTATTTAGCTATCCTATTGTGATGTTGGACTATGACTCTGGAGACGAGACTTTAAATACCCATTCAGCAATGGAAACCCACCGCATGATGAGGAACATACAACATTTCCCTGATGAGGAACATACAACATACAACATACAAACCACTTACAGACCCACCAAGAAAATCCAACAAATGCTATTCAGCAAAGGACAAGAGGGATCCTCTCACCTCTGCAGGAGTCTA